CATACAAGTTGTCGGGAAATTTGGAATCTCTATTAAGAGAGCGAGGCGCTCCTCAAATGTTGCGCAATTCGATTATTATCCTCGTCCGCAGTTTCCTTTGATCGTAATATTGTTTGGACAAACACTTTGCCAGTGCCTGTCGAAGAAATTGAATCCCTCATCGAAAAATCGATGCGGTGCCTCCGCTGTGCCAATGAGACACACATCAGCGAGAAGCGCGAATTTCCAGTATTTGTCAGTAATTGTTATTCGCGGTCAGCTACAAATTAGGTCAGCCCAGCACTCCACCGGTGTACGGTTGGGTCTCGACGAATAATAGCTTTCAATATTGCAGAATTATCAGCTTCCATTGTAACTGTCGTTTGTCTTCCATTTATTATTAGTCACAAGTAGATCGAACTGTGTTTATCTTCTCAATGCAAAATGTCATTAAGCGAGATGCTCGTCAAACAATGCGCAATGTTATTAAGCAAAGATACTCATTCGAAGAAAATATATCTTTACCATAATATAAGTATTTCAATACTCATATTTCATTTTTATCGTTATGTATTTTACTTTTAACGTTTTGATCATTTCTTGATTCATTGCGCGAGAATATTAACCTGGCCAAATTTTTATTACGTCAATAAAACTCTCTGATTATATGTATATTGGTGAAAATGACAGTTTTCATTTAAACAAGATTATAAATTCGACTGATGTAATGCTATAACGTCGAATATTCGCAAAAATTTAAATGGTATTTTGGTCACGTTTTCTGAACGTTATTAGCTCTTAAGTGACATTGCAATATGAATTCTCCCTCCAGTTTATATATAAACTTTAAAACGGTTTATAAACTTCTTGACAGATAAGAGTAATCGCATTTTAATCTTTTTACTGCTATTTATTATCCCAAACTTTTAAATAATTTCTAGATAATATGATTTAGATTTGTAATTCATCAAAACTTCTTAATAAGTATAATTATAAATAAAAAACGATAAAAATGATATTTATTATATTATATGCATATACGAGGAGTGATAAAAAAATACAACAAATGTTGTTGAAAAAAAAAAGAGAAACTTATTACATTAAAAAACAAATGACAATTAGTCCCCTTCAAAATACTTCCCCTCGCTTCAAACACTTATCCCATCGTTTTTGCCACTTGTTAAAGCAGTACTGGAAGTTTCTTTCATAAGTGCCTTTAGTTGCGCTGTCATGGCTCCCCCAATGTCTTGAATTAATTCAAAACGTTTACTTTTCATGGTTATTTTGATTTTGGGGAAAAGCCAAAAGTCGCACAGTGCCAAATCCGGTGATTATAGTAAATGAGGACACACCGTAATGCTTTTATTTAACAGAAATTGTTGTATCAGAAGCGATGTGTCACACGGAGCGCTGTCTTGAAGGAGGATGAAATCGTTTTACCCATTTCTCAGGTCTTTTTCTTCGTTTCTTAAACGTTCTAATATGCCTTTATATTCAGAGTTCACTGTAAACGTTTTGAATCAATTCAAAATGTCGAGGCATCCACGAGTGCAATTAAAGACACTTATGAAAGACAAGTTCCAGTACTACTTACGCAAGTGACAAGAACGGTAGGATAAGTGTACTAAAAGCGAGGGGAAGTATTTTGAAGGGAACTAATTGTAATTTGTTTTTTAATGTAATAAGTTTCTTTTTATTTCAACATTCACCGTATTTTTTTATCACATCTCGTATACGTTTAGAGTTATTTTTCCGGAAAAAAAAAAAAAAAACAGTGTAAAATTTATTCTTTGCCAGTTTTTACTGTTTAACGAATTTATCGCCGTGGGACTAAATTAAAGAGGATGATATTGCTCTCATCTATTTGCATTTAATGGTTGTTAACTTTTGCAGCAAATAATATTTATTTTACAATCTCCGATTAAATGCAGATATGTGTATGAAGATAACGAGTTCGCCATAGTACGAAAGACATCGTAATTTTCTTAATATGTTGTTTAACACTGAGGAGAAATTACTTTCTACACTTGGGTTAATTGTAAGTCACGTATAACTGCAAGTATAATAATTTGAAACTGTCTTGTAAATACTCTGTAACAGTTATGTGACGTAGGTTAACGACGAATGAATTAACACACGCGAAATTCACTCTGTTTATTCCAAAAGGACGACCGCGTTATGCGTGTTAAAACAACTATTACACAAGTAGTACACAACGGTAGCGGTACCGAAATAATTCCTGCATTCGATTATAATCATATTATGTGAGAAATATTATAAAGAAGCAATTTTAATCGTAAAGCTTTCATGCATGCTTAATTTCCTTTTTCATTCCTGTCGACTTATTATCTATACATAAAATAAGCAACTTTTGACGCTACCGACCATTACGGTAAGGTAATCTTGTTACAGAAAACAAACAGAGACAAAACTATGTAAACAGTTTCGCTTGCACAGTTGCTTTGAAACGAAAAGTTATTCAGTAGCGAACGAGCTAACTTCGGCAAAATTCTTATAATTGCTTTAACGTGCATTACTGTCAAAAAACGAAATTCGTTTATCGAACACAGTCGTTTTCTCTTTGTGCAGTCGAATATTAATTTAATTATTGCGTAGTACGTTGCACACTTCCGCCGGATATAAAACCGACGTCGCAGGCAAATCCGCGGTCTTGCACTACACGATGCACGATCTCCGACTACACAGCGGACTTAAAATTTCAATTACGCAACGGGGGAGAATGTATCTCGTAGAGAGCGCGGCGTCAATCTCGGAAATTACTGCGGTTGCTTTCAACCCCGCGGTTGTCTGTATAGCGTCTCAGAATTCGCAGCGAGATATTGCGCGTAATTATCGCAAACGCCGGTTTCATGCGCGCCTGGTAAATCAATGATATATGTAATAGGTATCGACCTACCGATTATCGGAGGTACAAATGAAAGCTCCCAGTAAAACGTTTAACCCCGCGCGCTTAACTCCTATGCACACGATTATTGGCATTTCGGCACTGCTCATTGTTTTCTTACGGTGCGCGAGAATAATGCCGGGTGCTCGCTTACAAGAGTACAAGGATAACAACAGGATTGCCCTTGCTGCGGAGTCGGCTGGGACGCAGAGAGAGCGCAGCGGAGCAGATCGATGCTCATGGCGCCCGCCTGCCGCAGCCTCCGCAGTCCGGAACCTCTTGGATAATTCCATAACGGTCATACCAATCTATAAATGGTGGGACCGGCAACTTGTGCACAATAGCTGCGCCCGGCATTTTTCAGTTAATAAAACGCGCGTCTACCATTTCGCGTCAATACCTAGGGGCTATTAGTGACTCGTATAGCCAATGAGCGGCATTGTTGAACTTGCAGTTGTAGCAACAATGTTCTAATGATAGTTGCTGCACATGTCATGTTTTATCTCGACAGTTGGCAGTCTGATTAATCATTTACGACTAATTTGCAGAATTTATAAACTAGGATTGTACTAAATTAAACTGGGACTGTATTGAATTTGAACATCGCGGTGGAATAAATTATATTAGAACCGCCAATCGACAGAGTCATTGACAGTGGAATTTACGATGGTATTTATATATTACTCCCTCCTCCCCTTGGCAGTCGCTAAGTGATTAAATTTACGAAATGCGAGAATAATTGTAGAAGATTAATGATCCCATATAGCTTCCCACAACGTAGCTTCAAACATTGTTCGAGCAACTTTAATTACCGTTTGATTGAATCAAGCAAGTCAATCTAACTGCAGTTAAGTAAATAAGAAATTTCACGCAATAAACGACAAAGTCAGAATTTAATTAAATTGAACGTTGCGAACGACTACTTTAATCGGCTACTTCGTGTTCGGAGTATCGGAAACCTTTTCGGGATTTCGTTTTCGCGATGCAAATACCACGAAGTGCATCTCTCTTTCTCTTACGGCGTAACTTTCAATATTTATTGACAAAATGGAGCAAAGCTTTTCCAGTTCCCCCGTCTGATGGTACTTATTTAAATTCGCTCTTATCCCAGCTGCGTACAATCCGACCTGGTAGAAAGTAACAATGCTCATTAAAACAATTAGATCAGCAAAAAATAAAAAGTCAAATGAGCGAGATATTTTAATTAGACCCTTCGTAAGATAGAGATTTGTAAATACCTATTAAGCGTCACTTTAATTCAATGTACTATATTTACATTAACCGCAACTAATCAGATTAAATATAATTACATTTTTTTGACTTTTGACGACGACGAAGTTAAATTTAATATTTTTATATGTCAAAGACTCTCGAAAGTAACGCGAGCGATATTTGCCAATGGGCTTTGTCAGTTAAACAAGACATTGTTCGCTAATGTCGCAGCACAAAGCCGGGTAAACAAGACGTCGCAATTAAAGCTGGATTAGTAAGCCATGCGTGTGTCGTAATGACGACCGACAAATGAGGCATGTTCTATTTTAGTTCGTCTCGAGTTTTAACATTATCGAAACATAACTCTACAGCTACAGTTCATGTATTTCTCATGGCATACTAAAATATTTTATAATTCTTTTCGCTTGCATTTTCTCTTAAATTAATTTCTATTTTGCTTAAATTTGACCCATTATTATAAGATTTTGTTTAAATTAGATCTACCATTTTTATTTAGTGAAAATCAGCTCCAAACATTGGTCCAATTCACAGTTTGAGATTGTAACAAATAAAAGAAATTCAGAAATTCAGAGAAAAATCGCGTATGTATTTTTTATGCGACTAAATTGAGTTACGCTTGATATATAATACATAAGACTTCAGCAAAATTGAGCACATACAGAAATTCTTTTCCCCCTAGAATAATGTAGAAGCAATCATGCTTGAAATATTGAAAGGTCGAAGACTTATTTGGCAAATTATCTGGAAAAAGGTTGCCGAGGAATGCGTACTTTCGCATTCTTCACTTGCCGGGCTGCAATGTTATAAAATATTCCGAGGTCCGGTTCCCTTACGAAAACTGTCCGCTGCCATAAGATACAACGAAAACAGAAAAGTCCTACAGTTCAGTCTTTGATACAGCTTCTGCAAGATAAATGACATTTATCCGTTGTGTGGTTAGCCCACAATAATAGCATTTATTTCGAGCATTCCAATGTGTCAGTGAATGGAATCCACGGATGAGATACTGCTTGAATGGAAGTTTGTGAAAAGTGTAAAATGCGGGGGAGATGTGCGACAGTGCGGAGTGACTTAAATAAATCGTGGGCACGAAGACCAACAAAGTACTATTACGCATGCACTCTACTGCGAAACTTTAACAAAAAAACAGTACAGGAAAGTGACACGCTGTATTGTCGACTTTTCATTACAACAGAATTATGTGCTTGTGAAATTTATCGCGGGAATAGAATAGAGATCAATATACATATTCGACAGTGCATAATAATAATAATAAAAAGTGTCGCCAACGAAATATAAAAACATAAAAAATTAATTATTAATATCTGTGATCCCTCTCTCTCTCTCTCTCTCTTCGTTTAATATAAGTTAACTTTAAAATTATATATAATACAAAGTAGGGAATATTCAATATTTTAGTTGCAAGACTGATCGTTTCCGTTTCAAGATAGGCATATAATCTCTCAGTATACACGAACTTGATAACTCTTAGGCGGATTTTATGGCCTACTCTATCTTCATAAAAATCGTTATTGCTATTCCGGAGTGAGACGTAATATATCTAAGGTAAGATCTGGCATATAATGGATAAGCATGAAAATAATCGAATTGACAGTCTAATAAAAAATTACTAATGATCGAAGAAAATGTTAAGAATTGTCGAGAAAAGACATTTCAAATTCTTCCATAAATTTTTCTCCTTCTGCTCCCAATCTAACTTTTAAATATGCAACGAACTCGGTCGGATGTTTCAGACTTGAAAATGTTATGGGTAAAAACCTGGACTCTCTGCGGTCCGAAAGGTCGTACGAGTTTTCGCCGAATCATCTAGTAATTCTAGTAGGTTAATGGAACTCGACGGAAAGTTTCCGTAAGTTTAAAAGAAAAAGGGTTCAGCTAATAAATCGGTTCCGGTTATAAAAATATCGTATTTATTTTGCCCCCTCAGAAACCAGTTAATCTTCGTGCTCGTATTTATTCTATAATATTTCGTCGAAAGGAGTAATTAATCCTTGCGCTTGGGCTCTAATAGAAATTTTTCGATATTTGCAGATGCGATTAATCTAGGAAAAAAAATCAAAGTAACAATTTCGCAGTAAAATTGCAGTATCGCTGAAATACGCGTACAATTTTTCAGATTCATGTTATTGAAAATGAATTCGGGATCACTGTAGATACATTTGTGACGGATCGGTAATTCTCCTCCACAAACGGAGCGCAACCGTGCACTGTATGAATTTTAAAAACTGAAATGGAATTATTCCCGCACTAAAAGGGTCAACGGTATGGAAAGCTACGTCGCCAATATTCCAGTGTTAACTGAAAATTCATTCGCTGAGAGAGTACGTCATTAATAATTAATTTAGAACATTCTATTAATCACATTTACATTAAAATTGTTGAAATGTTTATGCTGATTTAATTTACAAATTGATTTACAGGAAATCTATTGCAAATATTTGATGCTACCTCGCACATTCGTTCACGGAGAAAATTTCCTTTTAAAATTTACCCTGAAAATCATGTTAATCATGGGGGACAACATAGTATTTCGACAAATTTTATTGTACACTACAATAAATTTGTTATAATATATACTAAAAAATAAAATGAAAATCATATAAAATTGTTCTACGATTAACATGATTTTCAGGATAAATTTTAAAATAAAATTCTCTCCGTATTGTATTGTATTAGCGTCGGTATAATCGTTATTTCTATTCCGTTCGTTCTATTCACACTTAATTGACTTTAATTAATTAGATTAGTTAATTACCTTGTTGACCCCAGTCAATTAACAATTTCACAGGCAATTTCGTGTATTGCGAACAGCTTGCACAATTGTTCATCATATTTCTTCCGGGAAAAGATCAAAGACACATATAAAGACTACGATCCGATATAAACGGTAATTGTCGCACGAGTTTCCAGGATTTATACTTCGCATGTCGCACACGTACACGCTCTAGAAATTCTATAAATGCAATTCGTGGAAAAATCAAGCCGTTTCGATAAATGGAACGACGGTAAGTGCCAACATTTACCTACGAACGTCGATGACATAGCGTATGACGGCTTCGTCACGTCCCTTCGAACAGGTCTGTCACCTAAGATGATGAGTCAACAAATTCACGCGGATCAGCTGTTGTGGGTCGAGGCGCATGCATCATGCGGTGACGCGAATAGGCGAACGGAAAATCGATTGGCCAAAGTTGCCTCGCGCTTCTCTCGCTACGATTGTCACATCGAACATTGCCCGACATTGTCTGCAAAAATGCCGATGATTGGCCCGGTGGCAATTTCATCGAGTCGCATGCATCGCAATCCAAGAGAGCCGAGATGAATAAAACTTTGTTTTTTTTTTTTTTAATCGAATTGGAGAATAAATTGACTCGGGCTCTTCGAAGAGTTCGAAGTAATCAGGTCGCAAACTTTTACGAGAGCTATCAATTAGCGGGTCTCGGTTTGTCGTGTTTCGTCTATTTTTCTCTGCGCGAAACGAATTGTAAGGACATGTCGGAATTCGTCCCTCGGAAGAACGGCATAGTTACGTATGCGATCGTTGTGAAATGTCAGATGACGTGTAAGGAGGTTAACGAGAATCCGCGACCGGCTCAATGGAATACCGACCAGGATCAGCTCCTTGAAAAAGAAAAAAACGCCGCAATCGTACGTAGCGTAATGACGTAACGCGCGCGCATCGTGATTGATGAGTCATTGAAACGATACATCATCCAGTGCTCATTTCTTGCAAACTTGCATTTTACACATCGCTGAATTTACACGACGTCGTTCAACGGTGAAAGTTGACGCTGACGTACTTAAATAGGATTGCGCGATACTGAACGGCTCTCTTCAAAACTTGACGTAAATTTATGGTGCTTTAACACCGGCGGGAAACAGGTATTAAAAACAAGTGTAAAAGAAAAGATATAAGAAACTTTTTTACGATCCTCTCTGTTGCATTATTAATTATACAATTTGTCTTCTTGATCAAAATTGAAAAAGGAAAAAAGATTCATGTTTAAATACATATTAAGGCTTTCACCTTAGATTATATCGAATTACGAGTTTAGACTTTTAGACTCATAATTTAAAAACAGTAAATAGGTTTCGGTCCCTACGAGACCGAATTCGTCGATGTGAATGTTCTCGAGTAGTCGAGCGATGACGTAAGTTATATTTTTGGTATAATGATATAAGGAACACCGAATAAAAATCACGTCCACACATGCAAAGCTCCCTGCTCCGCCTAAAAAAAAGTCAACCTCTCGATTTTATTTTGCTATCCTATAAGATATCGCTTCTTATACAAGATCGTCCATCGACGAGGAGCGACTGGAAACGTTTTCGAGGTCAAAATAAGTCTCAGGAACGCGGTATATTTTCGGTGTGACGACCTGAAGAACGCACTGAATATTTATAAATGCCGAGAAGACGACGACGGGAGGCTCGCGAGACTAGGTTTATCTCCTTTGACATTTAACTTAGAGACATGAGAAAGGCGCGTTTATTGACGTATATAAGCACTCGTGAAGTACACCTTTGTACTTCTACACTGAGATTCCCCAGAGTTATGGCGTATATCATTCGCAGAATTCTGGATTCTAGCCAGATCGCCGACACAGACAGACTCGAGTCAGATAACACGAGTTACACAACACATTTTTAATTTACGCGCGACGGAATACGGTATATTTGAGGATCCACGTATTTTTCAGTAAATATTTTAATTGCATTCCACTTTTTATCTCATTTTATTTTCGACTACGTCAAGTCAAGCATAAAAAAAGCCTCACAACAGTTATATACGGCGTGTGCGTTCTACGTTTTTCATTATTTTGCATAAATTCTTAATTCAATTTTCACGTCGCGTTATTTTAAATTTCATATAAAATTAATGCAATTATTATTAATACAATTACCGCTGCGATTCTATTTCTGTATGTTCAATCGATGTCTCGGAGAAGATTCCGATTCATTCTAGAATATACAAAACTATCGTCGCTCGCAATAGTAACTGCGTACATTTCTAAACGATGACAGAGCGGGCCTGTCGAAAAAACATACCGCGAGCTACATACTAATTATCACACTTAAACCAAAGCTGTATCCACACCCACGTCATCGTCGTCTAGTTTAGAGTAGCGCAGTTTGACCTACATTTTTTTCCCCCTTCCCCCGTCTTCTCATCCGTTTGAACTGTGGCACCGCGAGTTTCTCTCTGTGCACTTTAATCCGCGCGCACGTAGGAAACGGACAGAGCAGCAAAGCATTGCTATTAGTCGGATGAAATATTAGCACGATGGTCGGTGTTAAAGCGCGACGCTATTTGATTTACGAGCATAGGCGGTATTTGTATTTTTTCGCGCGGAAAATGTTTCTCTTCCCGCGGCGACGAGACACGGGAGGATGAACTCGGGAGTCTCGAGACCGCGTTTGGCGCATCTTGAACACAGACGGTTCGCTTTTGCATCCATCGATACGCGCTCTCTCGGTCTATCGAAATTGCAATGCCTATACATCGGGAATAAGCGTGTATTGTTCACCGCGAGCATTCTATTAATTGGATGTTTCTACATCAAAGCTCACAGAGCGATCAGAAATTGAATTTCCGTTGTATACCAGCTCTCTGCGAAAGAGAAGCTGAAAAAAATCGTTGGATTACACATTCAGCACGAAAACAAACATTGCAGCACTCCGCTATGTACGTTTGATACTTTTTTGTCCCGATGACTATTTAACAATTCATCTTGCAGCTTCGTTTTCACACGATTAATTTTCCATTTTACTTAATTGCAGCACAAAGCTGTTCATTTACTTGGGACATCGTACTTTTTGCACTTTGCTTGATAGCAGTTTGCGAAGGCGGTCTATTTTAAGCTGGAAAGAATGTTAAAAATCGATTGACAGCGTGCTAAATATAACGTAACTGTACAAACGTTGATTTAGCAGGCTGGATTTGTTGTGTGTGTGTGTGTGTGTGTGTTTTAACATAAAGTTGGCATCCATTAAATTTTAAAATATACAGAAATGAAGATATTTAGATAATAATTCTTATTATTATTCTACTTCTCTCATCATCTTCATTCTGATCATTTTCCCATTTCGAAATAACAAGAATTACTTCTAATACAAATTAAATAAGTCTTTGTGCTACGGAATATCTTGGGAATTATATTATAATTGAAGGGTTTGCTGCAGAGAGCTAACCCACATTTTATAACAAGTTAAAATGATGAATTTTCCAATTTATTTTCTCCATTTTTATAAATGAATTGGACTACTGTTGCAAGAAACCCTTTAATAAATTAATTGTAAATATATTATTGACGTTTAATATACGTTTTATAAATACGTACTTCATAATTATATAAAATAAAAACGGGAATACCTATATTAACGTTACGTTAAAATCAAAATAATATAAATGACCTAAACTAAATGTATTTATCAAATATATATATGTGTATATATATATATATATATATACACACCTATATTAAAATATATTAAAATATTAGAATAATGAGGTGTATGCGTGGAAATGCAAAAATATTTGGCCTCATTTCAGCATTATAATTATAATATAATTATTAAGCATTACGTTAATTAATGCTGACATATTGCAGATGTGATCTGTGAGAAAGGCGAGAGTGGACGCATATGCATCGGGATGCGTGATGCTTGTTATCTCATAACCACACGTTTGCGTGGCGGTAAATAGAACGGCTAGAAGAGTATGATAACATTTTATTAGCACAATTCGCATAAGTTATATCCGCATATTTCTCGTGGTGACTAGGAAAGCACTAGCCAACTCATTTATTCCTTTATGTTGCAAATGCATGAAAACGAATCGTCCGCTTAATATTTATGGACATGATATTATGCAAATATCTAGAAACAGTTTTTTAAATCTGCTCCAATTTTTCATCGAATGGTGAAAAGTAAATTATTCTTTTACTCTCGTTCCCACGTTCGTAAATGATACGCACATTCGCAATTTGAATTAATGAGTCTTTCGAATTGAAAATTAAATAACAATTCTTTCAGAAACATTCGTCAGAAGAATGTAGGTATGTACATAGTATTTATGGAATTATAGATAATAGATTTCTTCTTAGTAGATATGACGTCATGATTAGAAATAAATTCCAACTTTTCTTGGTACTTATGATCATTATATTATGTTAATTCTACGAGAAAAATGCTTGTTTATTCGCGTTACCGCTTCGCAATTATCAAATTATTCGAAGCGATCACGCGCGCGTGTCAACGGCGAGTAATTAAATAACAATCGTATCTCACTTTTTATATTATTGAAATTATCAATTCGATTGTCTACGACAAATTACAATTAATGCTTAATAAGGCCATTGGCAATTAGGGGAGCCCGAGTGACGTGTGCGTATATTCAATATCGCATACTGAAATTATAATTACAATTTAACTATTCAAATCCAATCTAATATGGATATACATCCAATCTGAGTAGCAACTACATAATTTCCGAAAGAAAGGCAGAAAGATTGAATATGGTTTCTACATAGAAAAACAATTTTTTTTTAAATTTAAAACATTGTTAGAAACGCTTAGTTCCATTTAAATCACTTCATCTCTTTTTACGAATACCGATTTTATTAACATTACAGGCTCTCCTGCAGCCATTCGCCAGTCGAGATAGAGAGATGCGATGCTGTGCGGTGCCGCCAAAGGTATCGCGTGCGCCTCCGGGAGACGCGCGTGCGATAAAGACCCCGGCGAACGGTCGCACACGCGAGCGCGGTGCGAAGGAGGGATTCGGACCGGAGAGCCAGCGTTACGTTTTGCGTATGGAGCGAGAGAGAGTGGGAGAAGCAGGATCTCGGGGACCTCGTAACGTGTTATCGCGGCTATCACGACCGCGAGTAGGACGGGGGGTGGATACCCGAGCCCGGCAATATCAGTTTGACCTAATCCACTCGTGTTGTCAAAATAAAACCGATCCGCACGTCGGCTCTGAGATAACCGGATCCTCCTGTCGTAAAGATCTCCCCCTCCTGTATACGCTCCGAATGTATACTCCGAAAGAAACGGGGAGGGGAAAGAAAAAAAAGTTTCCGTTGAGCGAAATCGCCGAAGGGCTACCCGCAGGAGCAGCGCGCCACGCAGGTGTGGTTCTGTACGCTGTCAACCGCTGCATTCTCTCACCTTTCGGTACCTCCTCGTCGCGGCCAGGTAGGACGTGGCGGTCAGCACGCGGCTCATCTCGCACCACCTCACGACGAATATCGCCCGACACGATACCGCTGCCATTTCGTCGCCGCCTGTCGAAGAACCCGGACGCACCGTACCGACGACGTTCCACGAGCAGCACGCGCGGTGTCGCCCGCCGTTCCTCGCTCTCTTGGACCTCCCTCGCGCGCACGAGTCGACCCACGGGACAACAAACGCCACCCGCCTACCACCCGCGTCGCGCGGCTTTCAGCGAACCGGCTACGAACGACTACCGTCCGCGGCGGACGGGCGGCATCGCGCGCGCGGACCTGAAACCCCGACCTTGCGGCGCGCGGCGGCCCGGCGACGTGACATGCGCGCCGCGCCGCGCTCGCCGCGCTATTGGCTGAGCGGCGTCGACGCTGCCGTTCCGCGGCACGTTTGGAACTCGGCTGAAGCTCGTTCCTTATAGATACGGCCCACGGAGACGTCGTCCGTGCAAGCGTTACTTTCGGAATCAACGTGTTCCGTTTGCCGCGCACACACGCCGCACGTGCATATACATGCGCGAGTTTCCAATCGGCGCGTCGATTGAGAATTCTCTGCATCTTCCTTCTTTAGATATTTGAAAAAAAGAAAACAGAAAACTGTCAGAAACAATATTTAGAGTTTTTGCAGAAAAAGCAGAAACATGCACCACTATACGGTGCCCTGATTCGCGTGAAATTGTTCCTCACAATTACGCAATGGATTGTGTCAAGACTGAAGTCAGCTGCTTCTAAAGGTTTAGAAACGGATTGCTAAACTTTATTTCTGCTAATTCACTGTTTATCTTTTTCTAATTTTTACAACTGGAAAAAGATACAAAATAAGTTAAACCGAGAATTAAAGTTAATCTACATTGATAGAAACAGACATAAGGCCCATTTCTACCAATGTAGATTAACTTTAATCTCGGTTTAACTCCTTATCTTAAGATAAAGAGTAAGTTAAACTGATTGTGAGATTAAAGTTAATTTATACATTGATAGAAATGGACATAAAGATTATCTCTTCTCGTTATTTTAAGATATTCTAAGAAATACGAATATTTACTGCCTTCGAGGCAATTCTTATCCAATTTTTAGCAAGATTTTGACTTCGAAATCAGATTTGCACTTTAATTGCAGTTTAATTCGGCGAATGGAGGTATATAAGTTTCTTCGCGGCATATCAGCCTCTTCGTAAACCAATTTTCGAGTCTTTTCTTATCTGTTTTCCAATTCACGGGAAATTAAGGCTTCTATAACTAGTTGTCATATTAGTTATATTATACCGTAACATCATATAAGCATGCAAGAAATAACATATTGAAATTTCTTGCCATTTGTAATTAAATAAACAGAATTTGAATAAAATACAACAATAAAATCGGTTTAAAACACTTATAAAAATGGGCAGAAACTAATCATTTCCCCTCCCTTCCTCCGACAATCAATCATTCATAAAAGATACAAAATTAAATCTATTCAGGCATGTAGGAAATACACGCCCAGCAAACGAAAATGATTTAAAATGAATAGAAATGAATTTATTTCGACATTTCCGAATTGGCGCTTTTTCGAATCCATTTGAATCCATGAATACATCCGAATTCAACATGGTGATTATAGTGATATTATTCCATATTTTAATTTATTTAAATCCAAAAATAATATAATAGAGACATGAATGCATCTCTGGATTCTGAAACGCAAACTCGGATAAATTAAAATGAATTGCAATTTTTGAATTCATTTAAATTAATTTTGTTGGGCGCTTTGACAACTGTTGAAAAGAGTGAAAAATATGTTTTTTACATATAAAATTCAAAGATAACTTACTTTTGACCCATTTTTATAAATTTGATAAGTTCGAGACAAGTCATATTTTTACTCATTAATTAAGCACATAATGAGATGCAAAATTTTGTCGTCAACACGTCACTTAAATTTTCATTTCATGGTAACAGATAGATAAGGTTCTAATTTCTACCACTGATATTATATATATCGTCACTGTCAACGCGGAATTTTTGATTGAGTGATCAGGACTCAGGAGCCGCGTCCATATGAATATTTTAATAATATGGTATATAAATTCTGTTGTTGATATAATACGTTAATAATACTTTGTGTACTTTGTATAATAATAACTGTATTTTAATACTAAGATTAACTACCGATTTTCTTAATAAAATTAAATATTATCTTAATGATTTTTGACTCAAAAAAACATAGAATAATCGAACTATGTAAGTCAATCGATAAAGTCAATTCGATAAAACAATAGGCAATCAAACTGCAGTCAGTTACTCCAACCCCAGCAGAACGTCACCCCCGCGCCCAAAATGTATCGAATCTTGAACCGAATCTCAATCACGGCAAATGACGATATGATAACGTGACGCCGCTTAGAAGAGATACCCGACTCCAAGAGAAGAGAGAATGTCGTTCATTAATAGAGATTACTTTTACGAAAACTATTACGATGACATTCAGCTTCGCGTGTTCGGCAACCATACCACTGCCTCCACCGCGCACCTCCAATGGAACTCGCTAGCTCGCCTCGTCCTGACGGTCCTGCTGCGCATCGGCTTCGTCCTCGTCCAGGTCGGCAGCGTGCCGGTCAACAACGTCAATCTGATACTCCTTCAGAACGCGATCGATCTGTGTTGCGTCACTGTCATGTACTTCCTGACGGGTTTCCTCGTCGCCTTCAACGGCGACGTCGTTGGTCTGATCGGCGCGGGCCACTGGATCGGCGATCCCGCGATCGACAAGAACGAGGCGATCGTGGGGTGGCAGGCGGTGACGATCGCGTCGGCGATTTGCACCACCGCCGTCGCGGGCAGGATGCACCCGGCGGGATACCTGCTGGTGGGTATCCTCTTGTCAGGCCTAATCCAACCGTTGCTCATCCACTGGGCGTGGATGGGGTGGATGGCGGAGAACGAATTAGGCGGAAGAACGGTGGCCTTCAAGGACGAAGCTGGCGCGGGGATAATTCACATCGTCGGAGGATTTGCCGGCCTGATCGGATGCCTCGTTCTCGGCAGAAGAATGTTCAAATTGAGAGACTTGGATGACGCGAGTATCACCCCCGGCTCCGCCGGGACCGTTTTCGGGGGTTTACTGCTGATCTTCGCCGGGCTTCAAGTAAATATCTTACTTCGATTGAACGCAACTTCCAAAAGTCGAATTGATAGAACAAGAAATATTTCGTTTTTTACTTAATTTAAAATTAACTGTCAATCGTCGAGCTTGGGAAAAAATCTGAAAAGGTCGCAAGCTTCTCTGCCATTACAAAAACTGACTGACGTAAATAGAAAGTATTATGCGGAGTCTGAAATCTGATTTTAAGTCGATAAACTTCAATAAATTTAAGATTTCTTCGTAATGTAATTAGGTAGATATCGAAGTGTGTTTTCCATACACAAAAGAACGGTTTTACTGAAGTATCTAAAAATTTAACTATGTACAGATCTGAAAATAATTTTGTTGTGGACCAAATAATTATGTTTGCGACACTCAAGTTGATTACTGGATGTCAAAATTTTTGCAGCATTAGTCATCATACTTGAGCGTTTATCTACATAATTTCCTCACACAATTAGTTTGATGGTCCATAACAAAATTATTTTTAAATAGCTGTATCCAGCTTAAATTTTAAATATTTTTGCAAAACTGTTATTTCCCTGCAGAAACCATGAATTGCTAATCAATTACGTATAACGTTCGATACGTTTGCAGAGTTTATGCACGAGTACGCACGAGCGCGGCAAGTACCGAATGCTCGCACGGGACTCATCGCACGCGTACGTCAACAATTTGCTGGCCGCGTCCTCGTGCACATTGATAATCGCGGCTCTGCACTTCGTCCTCGGCCGTGAGACCTTCGATCATTGGGCGCTAATGAGATGCATTCAGGGAACGATCGCCGGCGTGGTGACGGTGTCAGCCGCGCCGAACGATTACTCGCCGCAAATAGCTATCGCGCTGGGTTGCCTGGCAGGCATCGTGTTCCACCTCGTCTCCACGCGGATATTCCGCAGCGCCCTGGAGGATTACTGCAACGTCGTGGCCGTACATCTCGTTTGCGCGATTCTCGGGAGTGTCCTCGCCCCCATCTGCGTCGCGCGTATCGACGAGGATATCGTGACGATATTATTGAGCTTCTCCTGGCAATTAATCTGCTTGGCTGCATTGCTGATCCTAGTTGGCGTAGCAATGCTGCTGATCTTCAGTATGCTTGAGTGCTGCGGGATACTCCGCAATAGATCGGAATGTCTGAATCATGCGCGGGCCAACGCTGCCGTCGACAGAGGCCCATCAAGATCGTTCCTGCAAAGGCTCTTCTCTCCTGGCAAGGGTTGCCTTTACCTGCAACCGGGCTCGACCTCCAGCACGGAATCCAAGGAACATTATCCAAGCGTTAGTTCCAGATTTCGAAAGTATCAAGAAGAGATAGATAAGCTTGAAGAAGGGAGGCCTACCGTCACGAACAAATCGGACGCGAATGTCAAAATTGAAGATAACGTCATGAAGATTCAAGCGCCGGGTCGGTAAAATTTATAAAATGCAAAATACTCGTACTTTGCTATCTATATTGATTCTCTATCGGTATTTTACAATCGGTATCAATTTATCGTTCAAGAATATTCGCGCGTTTTTTACTCGAGACTACTGCATTTCTCAATAATACTTTTCGTTAATTATTTCAATAGTTGATGAGCATATAATTAAAGAATTCATTCTTAGGCATTCCCGACTTTGAAATATATATAAAGATAAAATCGTTTGCAATCTCTCTAGTAACAGAAATAATGTATTTACAGGAGCGAGAGTAAAGAAAGCGAGACAAGTGCATACTTTATCTGGGAGTACCCCGGTGTTGACAGAGGATCAAGGTGGTACCGGTGAATCAATTGACAAGGATCTTTCGGAAATTGAAAGGAAAAAATTTCTTAGAAGGGAGATAAAATATGCTTTGGATCCTATCGAAGAAATAGATGAGGAGATTTCGAAAGAATTTGAAGTCGATAAAAATAGCATTCAGCTCAGTACTGACGAATGTAATGCTGGGGACAAAAATCCAATCTCGATGGAAAATTTTAACGTGTCTGTTGATCGAAGGAATTTGAGCGAATCAAATTATCAGCTTCGAAGAACCATGAAGTTGATGAATTTACATCACGAATTTATCAAGGAGGATTTGAAAGTTGTGTTGGGACCGAAACGCCTGGATTCTTCATCCAGTGATTCGTGCGACGACGACACTGTCTTTGCGAAGACACCAGACTTGAACGAATCTATCCAAGAGATAGTGCAATAAAACAATGACTCATTGATTTACAGCGCAAATATATGGTAAGCGCTCTGCCAAGAGATTTGATTCAAATGCGTAGGAGATAATGAAATGTCGAAAAACAGCGAAGTTATCAAAGAAGCTACATCAATTTCTTGGAACTGGAACAATTAAGGATATAAACTGTAGATTGTACAGCTTTGAAAGGAAACAAGCTGAATTATTATTATTATTATTATTGCATTGTTCTAAATCATTTTAACGTAATCGTTCTAAAATTGTTTTAGTTCCAAAATGTTGATGAAAATAGCAAGACATAACAAATGTACCGGATAAGAACAAAGATAATTGAGTGTACCGTATAAAAGAGAATCGTAAAATAAAATATGTATAAAATTAAAATTAAGAAAGATATAATTCAAAATATGTGTTACTAGAAAAAATGTATTATACACTGCATAGTATCACTTCAATATATCATCGTTTTACAAAACAATCCAGTGTAGGATTTTTGGTGCTTCTTTTATTAGAACTTACAGACTATTCGTACAATTATTACAGTATTTTACATTAGAATAGTCATAAGTTAAATAATTGAAGTGTCGTACACACATCCTACGCGCGGTTTCGTTTATTCGCACAACGATGGCATTGTCTTTTCCTGGGCAGTCTATATATTGGAACAGAATATTTACAGAATGCTTGCCACTTCTGTGCGTTTTATACACAAACGGATGCACCCGCAAAATTTGGTAGAAATTAGCAGTACGCCATCACTGATAATGAATGTAGCCGATATACAAAATAACAGAAAATAATTTTTAATTCAAATATGAAAACTCGATAGTATTCAAACATTGCTGTTGTACTACGTAATCGTATTGCTTTATATTTTCATTATTATTATTATTACTAGACACGTTAGTCCTTTTTTAAATATTTTTTAATATTGTTTATTGTTATCATATGAGCCTAAACATAATTTTGATTTTTAACTAATATGTCTTTAATAATTTGTGCAAATACAAAAAAAGTAATTATAAAAAAATGTAAAATAAAAAGATAGAATAAAAATCAGTGGAAAACAAAGATCAGTGATGAGGTAATGCTAGATTAATTATGCTTACACGTTCGACGATAATCTTGCTCTGATAAATTCCGCGGGGTTTATTACTCACTTCTGTCTGCCGTCAGGTTATTGTCAGGTAGTAGCAATCCGGACATTTGTTGCTACCGCCATACTGAACGAAATTAAGGATATTGACTCTAAAAATCCGATGTCGCGATTGGTACATTATAATCATAATTATATATACAGTATTGGTAAAATGGCACGATTCGACGAAACAGATCAATCAGTTGATATTATCGTTATCATTAGAAACTACCATTATAATACTAACAATAAACTTTGTACATGATTTGTTAAACATTACAAATGGCATAGTTTTAACGGCAGTATAAAAATGAAAACAAATCGTACAAACATAACAAAAGGTTCTGTCTAGATATAACATGATTCATATGTAACATCCAATGGCATCAGAGAAGTATTCGTAATGCGAGACAATTGATATAGTGTATAAACTGTAAATAAAAAAAATTCTCTCCTGATTTTACATTGCTCGTTTTGGATTTCTTCCTAACGGGCCATACACACGATATTTTCGTACACTTTTCTATGTAGAAAGTGCGGCAAGCAGATATTATATGCAGATACCTGCCATGAGATTTTGAAAATCCCATGAATTCATTACAATGTGTACAATTAGATATGGTCACAGATACAATTAGTATTATTAAAAATATTTGTACATGTAGTTCACATTATTGGAGATGATATTATATATACGTACGTATAAGTGTGACAAATAAATAAAAAAAATATACGTATACAATAATCAGATCCCATTGCTCTCTTGACCAACAAAATCTCCTTAGGTCGATTCAATATTCTTTTGAAGTACAGTAAAGTAAATACTGATGATATTAATATCATTTCCAAGCAAGCAGTTACATGAATGTAGACTCTGAATATGTGTTAAAATTAAAAAATATGAAAAATAATCTCAAGAAATTATTGTATAATTTTATTTGGACTCTTACCCGCTGAAAGATAAGATCCTATTGCTATTTTTTACATTTCAAATCCACAATGTATCATCCCTTACAGAAATCTAACTTAATACTGGCTAATTTAATAATAATAAAAATAAGTAATGTAAAACTTATTTTTATTATATTAATAAATATTATGTAATTTATTATAATATATTATTATAAATATTATTATAATATAAATTACTTATTTTAGTAAAGTATTAAAAGCAGTGTGTTTTTGATACTCAAAATAAATAATTATCTTTATCTCCCAGTATTAAATTTCTATAAGGGTAATGTATGCAATACGCGATAATTATAATAAATCTCAAATGTTTTTCATATGCATTTCGTACAACTTATCAGCGGGTATTTTGCTTAGTGAGCCAAATAATTATTTATCGATCCAATAATCACATAACTCTTTGATAGTAATTATTGCAAATGGATGTATGTTCGTCAACGCATCTGAGATCGGCGAACTTCCAAACTCATGTTGGAATACGTCATCTGAACTGTCCGTTTTAAGTTTTTCATTCCATCTTTTTTTTACACCTTTTTTAATACACCTATATTAACACCAAAATAATACGTTACATCAATGTACAAACGGACGCGATCACACATCTTTTGTTGGCCTTTCCACCGCGGATACCAAGAATAGTATTGTCAAAATATACATAGATTTCTTGTCATCGTGTCATCGATCTTAAATATGTAACGAGAATTAATATACACTGTATCTCCGAAAATGGTGGGCTCAAGAGAAAAGCTCTCAAAATCCCAAAATCTCACGCTCGCATGGACGATCCGATGAATAGTGCAAGAATGATTGATAAATTGTCTGACTCAAAAATTCAGCACAACAATTTGTCAATAATTCTTAAGCATGAAGAATACACATTTCTCAAAACAACATTGATTTGGACAGTCTGGTATTAAGAGAAAATGGAATTTTAATTGTTCAAAATATTGCATTTTGCCAAAAAGAGTACTCTTCAATCATATCATTCGTTACAACACGCGTATCGCGTTGATAGCAAAAATTCATTTATCCTCACTAGATATTATTTTATAAATTTCTACTACCATGGACATATCTTCTTTGATATACGAAATCTGTTCTTACGTCATAAAATTTATAAAAACAGGTCATCTTTTTTGTAAAGATATATCTTTCTTTTGCATAATTTTCAATTCATATGTATTGATCGGCTTTCATTTTGCCCAACTTATGCATGGGAAAGTAAGAAAGTGCCTAATTACGAATTGCTGGACAATGGCACGAGTGAGCGATTAATATCCCTGATTTCTACGACGCGGTAACGATGATAATGATAATAATAATACAATAGCAATTAATATTAATAGTAATTAATATTAATAATAATAAAATAAGGAGAGGATAATAATATAAAACTAGTATTATTAGCCTTAACAATAATCGACAATTACAACTGGGACTTCGTAAAGCCGCTTATGTGACTAGCTTTTGCAGGGTCTCCAATTACATTAGGCCAGTCCACTGGGATAGGCCAGGCATGGTCCTTCCTTTAAAGATGTGAAATCCAGTGGAGTTCTTTTGAATGTACAATTATTACTTTACAAGTCTTCCATTAGCAAGCGACGTATCTCGCTGACAGCGGAAGCGAGCAGCCGGGAAACATTAAAGTTTCATGCGATTGGCGTTTGCTAGGTCATCACAGTGTCGGTAAGGTCCTCCTTCAGCCATTGCGGTATCGTTCTGGATCCAAGCCGCTTTAATAATTTCACTAGGGCCGTGTTATGGGACAAATAATATCTCTGCAAAAGAGATACAGTGTTATACAAACAGACACGATTGTCTTATAGAGCTGTCTTGAAAAGACAGTTTACTTCGAGAACTTTACCTGCAATAATTTGTACGATCTGTCTTCCATCGGTGGGTACTGGCGACCTTTACTTTTACCGAGACATTTAGTGCGGTCTTCGTTAGTTACTTGACAGAAGAAACCCTTTTTCGGATCGTACCTCAGGTGCGAGGAATAATTGAAAGCGGGCGTTATTTTTAGAAACCGTTGCAGCTCGTGCAGCGTTTCCACGGGGTTTTGTCGTAACTGTTCGCCGTCGATAATGTGCAACTGTTGCGGCAAATAGAACGATAACCATCTCTCTAAATGTTGGGCGTACTTTCCAGGATTTAAACACCTGCAATCGAATGCAATACCGTCTTGAAACATATGACAATTAATTAAAATACATGTTGCATGTTATGTTAATTCAATCATGTATAAAATTATAGGAAGATATAGTTTTATAATTTTAGCATTTTCATCTACTAATTAATTTTTGATTGTTACATATCTATTCATTAATTTTTATTGTTACGTATTCATCTAATAGCGTCTATTCATACATTATTAAGTGAATACGTCTTAGATAATCATTCATGTTCAATTATGTACCTATTTCTAAGGTCCCGTAGGGATTTCGGTGCCGAATCACTCGCCGTGATGACCGCGTGGAAGGAGTAATTGTTCGCTACCGGATCTCCGTGTACTCTGGTATGCTGGTACCATGAATAAGCACGTCTAGCAGGAGATAGCAATATGGTGATTAGCTTGGCTCTTGGCAGAAGTGCATGAGCTCTTCGCGGCACTAATTCTCCGTCGAAATAAGTGGCGGATTTTTCAAAGAGATATCGAGAACTCTCGTTTTTTGATGCTGGAAAGAAGCTCATGTACCTGAAAAAGTAATGCGAGTCGTGTATTGCTTTGCTTCATATATGTTATAACAATAAATATAAAGTTAATATTCCCGACTGATTACTTACCAATCAAGACCTTTGTAATAATTCTTTCCGTTGAAAAACTGTATCTCTTCAAAGGTGTCGGGACTTGGTAAGTTACTGCTTATTGCTGGATGAATGGACAGGAATGTGTACAATGCCGTGGTACCGGTTTTTTGAGGTCCGATTACTAGAAACCGTGGTAGCTGATCGCAAGTTTTATTACGAGACCAAATCTTCTGATGCCTCTGATCGTCGCATGGATTCTGTAAAGAAAAGATATTGAGTTTAAGGTAGCTCAATAATGTTACAGAATTACAGTCAAAGTTATCGAGTATCCAATCCACTCACTCCCCAAACTGGATCGGCCTCCTCGGGGTACAACTGAAAGTAACGTTCTCCAAGCTGAAGCGGCGGCGCACTAGATAGCCTCAAATTTGTCCAACACTGAATGAATTTTATAACTGACTCGAAAGTATACAACGCCAGCCGATCGTTTCCATAATTCGACATATGCGTCATAAAAATATTTATCTGGAAGAAGCGTTGCACGATTAAAATTGTTTAACCATTTGCACATATTATTATAAAATGTATTTTATGTATATACATATTTTAATCGATGTGATTAAAGATCTAATAAATATATAAAGATATATCAAGTCAGAAATGATTATATATATGTATAATAACGGAAATTGTGAATTTATTATAGATAAACAGCTATTAAAAGTAAATTACCTATAATACGAAAGATTGAACAAGTCTGATTTCGTGTAACGGCTGATTTACTCACCGGATTATATACGATCGTTTGGAAAAGTTCCCCGCCCTGTATCGACTCGTCCAGCTTTTCCCTTCCACCCGGATACCTCTCGATAAAAATCGTGTGAGTAAAAAGGCCACATGTTTGCCTCGGTAGGACCTTGAAGTATACAGAAGGGGCGTTTTTATATCCAGCAATATGTGTATTATTAAATTTATGATTTGTATATACTTCAGAGAATTTAGTAAAATATAAAATAAAAAAAAATACATATATATACATACAAAATATTTATTTTGGTAATAAAAATTGAATTTTTTGTACAAAATTTAGACTCAAGTTACATATCGCATCCGGTAAAATAATGCAACCGCATATTCAATGACAAACAAATAACAAATTAATTATTAATAAAATTTTACGACCGATTACGTGTTTAATATTCATGTAAATTAGCGTGCAATAAAATCGAGAATTTCGTATTTCGAAAGCTGCGGTACCTATAAGCTAATATTCGTCCGAAACGCACGGTCGATACGGTACATTATTTTCAATAAGCGTTTGCATGCAACTCATACATTATATCCTGTATCGGCAATGCTCGTCTACGAAAAATATTCAATGACTGTGACCGAATTCGTGTGACTTCGTACCATTATGTTACGGTGAATGAAGCCGCGTCTCAAACGAGCCGGCCTCAGATGCGGATATTCTTCGGTGCTCGTGACCTTGATGTTCCACACCCGCTTCCACGCCTCGTAGAGGCCTTCGTGGACCGGGTAAACGCCGGAGTGATGCGGACTTACGCTGTATCCGCTTCCGGTCGGTATACCGTGGTCCTTTGCGAACTGCTTGTTCAGTGCCATGTCCAATTGTAGATGAGTTACATTCTCGTAAAGGTGCGGTTGTTGATGATTCCACATGTGGGAAAACCACGTAAATCTATGAAAAAAAAAAATTTGTAAAATTTCAAGATCGTAACAAGAATACACACCCACAAGAGAACGGCCTCTCAAAGCACGCGGAAATATCTTTCGTACTTTTTTTTTAGCTTAATGTCGACAGCAATTAACCTGCGGCCGTAATGAGTAAGGCATTACAACGTTTTGTCGCAGGCGATTATGGCAGTATTATAACAAACTGTTGCGTGACGTTATACGATAAAAGCTATATCACAATGTCGACGTGACCGTAAATTTAGTTTATATTATGCATATCTATATATGTGTTTCATAATAATAAATTACATAATTGTAGTAGTCGCTATAGTTCTAATTAATTAAATTACCCTTAAAGCTATACAAAATTTTGATTCGTGATACAATAAACATAATATTTTGTTGATTAATATACCTATATAATATATACTTTAGATATATGCGCATCTCTCTCAACGTAATGCAATATTCATCGAACTTATCACGAGATTAATTTTCGGATTAATCGTACCTGTCTACGTTCTCTAGAAGCATGTCGTCCCCCAAATTCTCCTCCGCTGTCCCGTGATGAAAATATTTCCCGGAAAACCCCAAATTAAATTTGAACCCCGGCACCAGAGCTTGAATTCTCTGTTGAGTGGCTAGCAACGCCATTACGTCATCCTTTCTCAGTCTGGTACCTTTCTCGCCGACGAATATATCGTCGACGTCCACCAGGATCATGCGATTTAAGCTGAGACTCAATTGACCGTGCGACAGGTAGGATAACGAGTCCAGCAGCAGCAATTTGTGTAGCCAAAATCGTAGGCCACCGCCGAAGAGAACTCTTTGAATTCCGTCATACCTGCCGTGATCCTGTGAAATGAATACATTTTATAAATCAAAGCTTCTTTTTCAAATCTGAAAATTAATAAATCTATTTTCATCGCGTTGTGCGTAACATGTACAACTTGTGACTCAGAATTGTGTGCTCCGTGTAGAGGTGTGCAAATCAAGCATTTACATGGACAAATCGAACTGAATTTTTGATAACATATTCGAAATCGAATAGAATCTAAAATTTTCACGTCGAATCGAATCGAATCTGAATCAAATTTTCCCAGATATACACTACATGTCAATTTAAATGTAATAAATATCAAAATTTATGATTTACATTATTTTACGAAATGATTTAAACAAACTGAAGACCTATTTTCGATTTACATCTCATTACGAAGAATCGTGATCTTATGTGACATTTTGAACTAGAAAATATGTGCATACAAGAATAGATAGAATGCTTTCGAATATTTTATCAATCTATATGGATACATTACATACGTCAAAAATATTTATTTATTAGATAAAAAAAATTTGGTCGCGCGGGAGATATAAATGAAGCAAATAAAATACATGATCGATTCAAAATCGATCTATTATTGATTCAAAATTCTTGAACTATTCGTTTTCGAGTGTTACAGATTCGAAAACGAACTCGAACCGAATCCACTGTGATTCGATTCGTTTCGAATTCGAACTATTCGCACACCTCTATAGCTTTGTGCTGCATCGTAAATAACTATTCTAATCACGCATATATAAATGAGTGTCGAATAAGCTCTATTCGATCTAATTTCTTCTATTCACGTTTTCACATCGGAACGGTCGTTGATCTTAGTCGGCGTTTCAGTTTTCAACGCGGACGTGCACCGGGTTTCGGGTCACTCTATATATGCGCGAACGCACACTAGTTAGCCGGCCTAATCATCGTGCGTTAACGAGCATCGTTATTTTTCTTTCAATGGGGCACGGTAGAGTACCGCGAGTAATCGGCCACGTCCGACGTGTTAATTGCATTGTTCGACGGAAACTCTCCGGCAACTCCGCAGCTTCGGCCATGAACCGGGCTTGTTAGCAGTAAACAACAATAATAATCTCACGGATAATCCTGTCCGCGCGAGAGGGTGGGCGTCGAGATAGATACGCGGATATCGCACAGGTAGCCAGGTGATTAAATCAGGAGCCAATCAGCCGTGGGCTCATTCGATTAATGAGCGACTGAGCGACGCGCTTCATTTGCTGCCATTGGAACCACCAATTTATTTCGTTTCGGGGGTTGGTCCTACCCTTCCCTTCGAATAGATCAAACGGCGCCAACGGCACCGACGACACGACCAGAGATGAGCAAAAGGCCGTCGAGATATTTTTCATTCATCATGAACGTGGAACGTGTTTCGAATATAACGAGTCGTGGGAATCACCGCGGGATTTCGAAGTGTTTTTTTCGAGCTCGTCTTATTTATGAGCTATTTATAGACAAAATTCATCGCCCAATTAAAGAAAGAATTCGGTATCGTTCGTGTCTGATTGTATGTATAGTAAGATCTAAAGTTTCCTGTTTAAGGACATAAAAAAGTGATAAAATGGAATTATTTTTTTTTTCATTTTTCAATATAAAATCATCCTTTATTTCAATGCATTTTTAGATCAATAAATTAATTTTTCTATATCACTGAAAAATATTTCGAATTTTAATTCTTACAATGAGTTAATACTGTAGAAATTACCTCAGTATCATTGCGATAAATTATTTTCCATATAAATCGGACTTTAATTTTAAAAATAAAAATTAATTGCATTTATTGTTAAACATTAAATCGAGAATAATTTAACGCTACGATAATTTTAAAAACAAAAAGTTCAGAATATATTTGAATGGTATAAAAAAATTAATTCGTTAAAACATATATTAAAAAATAAAGAATAATTATATTAAAGAGAGAGAGAGAGAGAAAGAAAGACAGATATATATATATATATATATATATATATATTCTAAATATGTAAATATAAAAAAAGAATTTGCAATATATTTTATTTATTTTTAAAAGTTAGTCGCGTATTGGCATACGCGAAATAAACTAGATGCGCTGTCAATTGGTACTACAAGGGACAGGAAAAGTTAACAAAAAACCCCTCGCATATCTCATAAGCTCTGTCACGCTGGTACAGAGACAAAACGGTCGAGTGTGAGATATGCGTTCACGGCTGGATGGAAAAACGTCGCGCGCCGGAATGGAACAGGCAAAACATCGACAATACAGCGCGTGTATTCGCGCTCTTCGTTACATCAAACGATATCTCGCGTGTGCCCGTCCGATGAACGCCGTTTCCTTTATATCATGTGCAATTCGGCGCCTCCTTTCAGGCGTCTGCGGGTCCTCGCGTTTTTCGCGTATCACCGTTGTCCCACCGCTCTTTCTCCGTCTCTCTTATTCACGTCCGTAACGTCGGGAATCTTGCAGTTGCGAATTCCTGCACGAATGTAAACGCCGGCCGGGACGGCTTTACGAATTGTTTCAGTTTACCTCCACCAACTGCGGATCCTTTTCTACATTTCCTCTTTTTCTTCTCTCTCTCTCTCTCTCTCTCACCCGTCCGCCTTCGTTCTTTCCTCTTTCTTTCCTTCTTTTTCCCTTCCTCCCGTCGCCGCGTGTACGTGGCCACGGGCCGTATCGCGGAAATTCCACATTTGTTTTCGTTTTCCGGCGCCGTCGCTGGCAGAGCAGGAAGAATCGCTAGGACGAGAGAAACGACAGAAGAGAAAAATGCAGGGAGAGGTGAATGAGAATGTTGCGTACATATTCGCGGTTTCTATTAATGCAAAATTAATTATCGTTGAGAGTACAATGGAGAGGTTCATGACGAGATCATATAAAATCCGATATTTAGCAGATGTAACAGAGATGAATGAGGCACCTCTCGGATGAAATAATAATATAATTCGATATGAGACAAAGAATAAAATTCTGCTATATTTTTCTGTATTTTTAGCTCTTTAGATAGCCATTTGTTAAAAAAAGATTTTTATCCGGATATTAATTTGGGAAAACAGTATACATAAAGAAAAAGGAAGTGGAAGATATCTGGAAATATCTCTTATTCCCTAAAAGCTTAAAAGATCTAGATCTTCTCAAAATACTAAGAGCAATGGAAGACGCGAAGCTACTTTCTATGCGGCGCGGTATTTGGCAATTATTCCTTGCTGGAAATACATAAGCCCTTATCACATCGACTAAGGGTTAACATAAGAGAAGGGCGAGGCCCCTCTTATCGTGCGACGTTCGAAAGAGAGGAAGCCGTGGAAGACCCTTCTCTTCGGCAGGAATACTCACGCGCGGTTATACCCAAGCGCGGGATGAAATCACATTGTGCGCGTATTGTTCCAAGACCTTCCTTTTGTTCTACCCCTCGCGAACGGCGGAACACAGCCACTCAGCTTCTTGTTTCCCGCCCGACCGCCTTTCTTCTTGTCTTTCCTTCGTTATACGCAAAGCGAAGCGACGCATATCGGAGAAATTCCGCGCTTCTGGCCGGTTCTTTTTTCGAGATTTCAAGAGAGGAGAGAGAGAGAGAGAGAGAAGCGCGAAATCACCCTTTGAAAACGTCCGAACCGAGAGCTCGTTCATCTCGCGTAAGAAAGATAAGTGCGCGCATGATGAGACTGAGGATCACGTCGTAATTCTCTCATGGCGATTACCCTGAGTTTGTTACCGATATAACGGCAGGGCGGGATCATCGTTAAAAATTATCGCGCCTCTTGTATCTCGTTCCGCGGAGGATCAAGAACACTAAAATCGGTTACGCTCGCGTTACCCGCGGTAATAAAACGAGCTCTCGCGGGGGAACTCGCGCGGGTTTCTCCGGTGAGCAAGAAGGGATTTTGTTTTCCCAAACGTGCGAGTATAAATGTCGAGATACAACTACTTCACGGAGTAGCTCGCGTGTATTCCTTCCTTCCCGCCGTCATACCTTTCCTACCATCTCCACACGGGGGGTTCTGGTTCCGTGCACCCTTTCAGAACGAAGATCGTTCCGCGGAAATACTCCGCGCGCGCGTTTTCGTTTTTCGAGATTATCTTTGTCGAGAGAAGATAAGAGCCGCGGGAGAGCGCGCGCGCACGAAGCTGCGTGAGTTAATAAGGGATTCCCAAAAGGACACGCCCGCGAGCTTTGTGTAAGTATAATGGGGACCGGGAGTTCAAAGCTGGTGTTGAGAGATAATATAACTTTGGCTTGATACGTCGCGGCTTCTACAACTTCCTCGTGGTACGTTCGTCGCGAAAGCATTCGCTCATTCTTACATTTAGAGCCAAAGAGCATCTATTATACCTTTTGCGCGTACCAACTGAACGGACTCGTGACGGCGCGGCGGCGGCGGCGGCGGCGCGCATCAGATCCAATACGCGAGAGAGAAGAGAAAATGATTTAAACGTTCCCCGTCCGCCGAACGGTAATAGGCATGGGCGCGCGAGTCGGTGCATTAATTCCGCAGTCGTCCGAGTTGTCCGGGGGAAGAGATACGTGACCGGAATGTCCGGTAAATAAAGTGCACGGACTCACCTGGATGACGGTAGCTAGGGGACTTTTGTTGGCCGGATAGTCGAGGCTGTCTCGATACGCCCAGGCGAGCGGCTCGTAGGTGCTGTGATTGGCCTGAAAAATAGTCCAGTCGCCGCCAGGAAGTGGTCCCCAGGCCGTTTCCCCCGATCTGGTTAATCGAAGAATGGGAGACGCCGCATTCAGCTGAGCATCCTGCGGGTGGAAGAAAGAACGATCTGATTCTATGCGGCTCGCACAAAAGTCCCGCTTCCGCGCTCGTACCAGATTCTCTCGCTTTTCGGAAAATCAAATTTTCGGGGGCATCACGCGCGCTTTAGTGCTTTGTTAAAAGAGGATTGTTCGGGCCAATGTTCGCGCGATTTTATATTCAAAATATTACGTGCAATAATATTTTCTATAAAATATACGAGACCACAAAATGTGATAACGATGAAAAATAATTTAAAAATTCATAGAATATGTTAATAAGCAGTAAAAAAAAGATAAATAAAACATTCAAAAATTGTTTTAAATATTTCGGGCTTTAGATTGCATTTATTTCCACGCGTCTGGAATAATCCCGATTTTATGTCAGAAATATTATTAATCTAAATGTTCATTTAAATATATCGAAAAAATTGCTTTGTGATAAAATGATAAACCGCTTGTGGTAAAATCGCTTTGTGGTGCAATTATGCAATTATTAAAAAGAAGTGAGATATTTCATATTCGATGAGTATATGAACAGCTACTACCTAGTTTTATTAGCCCTTTTTCTAATTTTTTCACGATTGTTACTCACGAGATATGCCACGCGTTCGAGGCATGATCGATGCAAAATTTTAAGAAAATTGTAACTTATTTCCCATTGCGAACATTACGATAATAAGTTTGCGGATGGTTGATGTCGCATAATTGAATATATAATAATTTTAATCATTAAAATAATTTGATTAATACGCTACAGTATAAAAATTAACACAAATAGGCAAAAGTATTTCTCAAAATATATAACATCGATTGTCTTATTATCGCAGACAGCACTATAACGGTGTATCACGATTTTTATTACTCCTTTTTATGAGAGTTTGTTTTCCTCGAAATCACTTTCTACAATACAAATTTGATTACAGCCATAAAGATTATCTCACAAGTTCTATCATTATGGCTCTTTTAATAATCCCTAATATTGATTATAAAGCATTCTTTCACTACGATAAAAAATTCTTACATTTTAATTATTACATTTTACTCTTGATACAATTAGGAGATAAAATTGCAACAATTTATTCTTGTATGTCGACTGTAAACTTGGTAAAACTAAATAAGTTATAATATAAAATTTTATTATAAAAAGTACATATATAAAAAATATGATATGCATAAGAATATAAAATCTTAATAAAAATAATCTTATAATTTAAATAATCTTAATAAAATCTTAATACTCTTAATAAAAATAATAAAATACATATCGTTTATAATAAAAGTTTTAATGTATGTGCTCGAGAATAGAGTTTGAATGTCTAATGTTGGGGACTGACCTTCAATCTAAGATTAGTGTGTATAAAAAGTGGAAAGCCCTTAAGCTGAGCACCAACGAGACTCTCCTCTCCTGGAGGGGCAAAACCCACGATGCCAACTGAATATTCCCTGCAATATTTGTCGAGTAGCTCGCGATTCCATTTGTCCATCTGCAGGTACTTGTTTAGATTCTCGAAGATCAGCACACCGTACCGACCCTTATCGAGATTCGTCAGCACCGGTAAAGACTTACCGGCCACTTCCACTTTGTACCTGAAAGCATACAAGTAATTTTTTCTATTTAATAGTCCATAAAATTCAACACTTTGAAAGTTTGTAATTTGTTATTAAATGAAACGTTTTTTAATCATTTTCATTGAAATTGAAACATCAATTTCTAACGCACATATTCTGCCGAAAATATTTATTGAAAATTTTTCATTACATTTCAACTGGAGATTTTTAATATTTTATGAATTTTAATATTTTATGGAATTTTCAATGAAAAAGAGGAAAGTCATAAGTTTCCACGATCGCGGCTTTTAATGTGGAACGGCTCGCTTGTAATGAGATACAGGCACTACAAATATAACAGTTTTGTGATAGGGCAAGTACTTTTTCGAAAGTGCTATAACTTTCACGGATATATCGTACGCTCTACATTTACCGTTTCCGGATACCATTAAAACTGCAGCGATATATATTCTGCTAATCGCCTTCGGGGTCTCCGTGCTTAAGAATTGAACATAGAGGAATGTGGACTTTTGCGAACTTCGCTTAGGTCGCGCATTATTCTTACGGGGTTTATATATAAGTCAAGCGTGCGCTTGGGAACAAAAAAAGTTTTGTTAACGTGTTCTTTAAAATGGAATAAATTCTCCCGCTCCCCGTCTTTCCTCCGCCACGCTGGTATATACATATAACTAATACTTTACGGAATCTTTCTTTCTCTCCCTCTCTCTCTCACACTCTCTTTTCCTGCCAGTGTAAATATTTCACTGCAAATATTTAGACGTGAATGCCACTCGTGTAAGATACAGCCGTCAACGTGTGTTTTGACAATTTCAATCCGATGGCGTATCGGATGTTTAAAGTGCGAGCTGTAGTAAATAGAAGTAAAATGGAATATCGATAAAAGAAGTGGCCCCGGTGGGGAGCGGCCGCGATGCCGGTATTGTTAAACGATAAAACTGAGACACTTTATATCGAAATTCCATTTATGTGTAGCATCCAAAAAATTCTACGCGAATAATATAGCAATTACACGTGTGGTACCGGCTCTCTTATACATCGAGACATTCGGAAGATTTATTGTATTTTTTCGAAATTATACCCCGCCGCCCGCGCCGTCAAAGCTGTCTTCCGTCCGCGCTTTCGGCCTTATCTGAATTTTTATTTCCAGCGTACTCCCTCCTCCCAATCGCGAAAAAAAAGAAATCGACAGGCCATACTTCTGTGTCTTGTGCGCGATAAAATGATTTTATTGCGGAAATAAACTGGCGAGGCTTCTCTCGTCGATCGTACCGATGGATTTCTCTCATATCCTGTCGCGCGTCGTAAAGAGGTGGCGCGAATATCAGATTTATTGGAGATGCATTCCGATAAAAAAAATTTAACAAAAAAACAAAAAAGTAATAAAAAGGGAAGAGAAATGTACCGCCTCTGCTCTCCCGATGGCAAGGCTGTGTTCGATTTTTTAGCAGATTTTTCGGGGAATGGAAAGCACATATCGCTCGTAAAGTCACGATGAAATGAATATTCAACGAATGTACGTGAAGTTGCGCTGTCTGTTATCGGTAATATATCGGGACTAACGCTAAAATATATTATTTCTAAATAAGTCACATAAGTTGTTGATCGCGTTTTCTTTAACTGTTAATAGCCAACGAATTGTGATTATATCAATCATCTATAATAAAATCCAACGGTAAATGGCAAATATTTGAGGCATTAGTAAGCGCAATAAATATTAGATGCAGTTTCGACTGAAGTCGAAACTATCTCGGCGCAATGAATATTTGCCAAATATAGTCCTAATTCCTGACTTTCGACAACGTATATGAAGCTTCGCCGAATGAAAGGAAAAAGCACGAGAAGGAAGGAGGCAGTATGATAGCGTTCAATCGTAGTGTGTAATATTGCTGTTAAAAAAAATGGTAAATAATATTCGGATTATGGCAAACAGTTTTAGATTGCGCATGCAAACGTATAGTCATAACTGGAAAAGCCGCTGGAGGTTCATGTGGATCAATATCAACGATAGTTTGGGTATCTCCTATTTGTGTTTAACATTCGGGACCGATTCTAATCGCGTATATACATCAACGTGTTAGCATGCCAGAACAGCAGATTCCCGAATGCAAAATAGTCCTGATATCGTCGATCTATAAAATGTCCTGTATAACATCCGCATTTGTTAGAATATTGTGATTTATTTGGCGATTTCTTCACTAATGATAACAATAATAACTTTATTGAAGCGCAAGAGATGTCATACATAAAGACAAATATATTATAGAGAACAGCACAAGAAACATCAATAATGCTGCTTATAAACTGAGATCCTATAGATCCTAATTAAAATAACTAAAAAAATAATAATAATAATGATAAAGCATATGTGCATTATTGATAACATACAGATATAGTAAAAAGTAAAAATTTGAGCAATAAAAATTCCAACGCTGTCGAAACACAGTCGAAAAAAGTATGTCCGTACATATATTAATCGGTGTATTTCAATTTTTAAACGTCAAGTCTCTGATTTCGTAAATAGCTGTCTACCGATGTAGTTAGCGCTAGTTTAGCACTTACACTATTAATGCATAATTTACTGGTTTCGCGCAACAATGAAGATAAATGACTTCAGCACGGTGCAACGACACGGCGCGGCGACGCGTTCGGGCGAGTTAAGTTAAGGGCCGCGAGTAATCCGCCCAATATAATAGTTTTATAATTAGGTGAACGTTGTTACCGGGCCGTGCGATAACCATAGCCGACTTTATTTTCGCGTTAAGTAACGGATCGGCGCCGACGTGCCTCACGGCGGAGCCGTACGCGAGCGCAGAAAATTCGAGTTAACTAATGAATGCCGGGTATAATTTAGCGACGTAATCGATTCGATAATTGGTAACCGCCCATTAACGGCGAGTTAGCCAATTTACGAGGCTAACGAACTGTCATAACGAACCACCCGGCGATGGGGAGGGGGAGGGACCCTTTTGTTCTTGGCTAACAATCGAGAGTTCGCCGTCCAAGCGCGTACCGTGCGCCCACGCGCGTCACGCGAAGAATCCGAAAGCGAAATTCAGAAGTATCGATCGTGGAGCACATCGTCCCCAATCGCGAAACGATGAAAGGCGCGTACGTGCCCGGGGATGATACCCCCGGACTTCGAAATTTGTACGCCATGGCACCGGCAGTTTCGTTAATTATATTTCGAACTTCGTGTCCTTAAAAGTTCATCCCGTCCGCGCGACAGAACGAACTTTCCTGTCTCGTCCGGGCGGCGGGAGATTAAATTAAGTTTAATTAATACGGAATAGGAAGATAAAATGGACGCGGTGTCTTGATATTAGATATGTATTATACTGAATGAGACGCTATTGATCCGAGACGAGATAACCGAGAGTTTCTATCACGTTACCGGTTCCGTTCTCTATCCGGTTCCGCTCTCGCCAAATTAGTTAATAAGTCGAGTGCTCCAAAATTTGCTGGAATTAACGTTAATTATATAATATTAATGTAAATATATATCTCAGATCCATTAATCTTTTACAATTAATCGCTCGTATCAAGATTAGATATCCGAAATAATTTTCTTGATTCCGTATTTCTCATTGAAGTTAATATAAATAGGAATATAGTTAATAATATAATATTCTGTGCTATTATATATGTAAGAGGGCAAAGTACAGTGTAGTTAATATTAAAATGAAACGATTATCATTTTAATAAAAGACTGCAAAAATTTGATCAATTCCAGGATGTGCAACAATTAAAAAATAAACAAATCAATTCTTTTAGAAACTGATGATTAATTATTTTCTATTGAATATATCAGAATTTCTTGATAAAGATATTAAATTTATTTAGTTGGGTCAATAAAACTTTTTTTTAGTAAAAAGTTTAGTGAATAATACAATTGCAAGCTTTATAGATTCAACAAAAATAAATAAAAATAACAAAATCTTTAAAATTACGTTTATTAAATTAGTTCTAGTTATAAGATATCAAGTGCAATCGTAAATAAACCAGAAATTCTATTTGATCTCAGTAAAATGCATTCTGTCATATATGTCTTATCGATATAATTAAAACATTTTTCTGATTGTGAGTATAGTTTTAAAGAAAGATTCAAGTAAATAAATTGCAATATTGCTATTAAAGAAAACTAGCCTTATGAAAATGAGACTACCACACGGCTAGTTTAATTAACAAGCTGTAATTTTACCTAAAGTTCAAGTTATTAAAGCATAAAAGCAAGGCGTTCAAACAGATTCTTCAGTCACGTTTAATCAAGTAAAATGTTGCTCAGTTTCTCAGCAAATAATATAAAGAGCGAAAAGCATCGCCCTCCTTTAGATTTTCTTCCCGATTTTACATATAGCCGCGCGCGCTCTCGATCATTTTCAGCGTATATAAAAAAACAGACATTTTATAAAGTTATTATGATAATACCTAACCCGTGGCGCTTCATTATCCGGGGGACGAGGCTAGGAACCTCCATCGCGAGCGAATTTCACGTTAAAATGCAGATGTAATTCGCGGAAATTCGCCTGCAAGGCAGATATTACAAACGCAAAGTGCCGAGCGGTCCGAATTGTAACGACGTACAAGGGCCCCCACGTACGTTTTCATTAAGAAGAATAATTTAATTAAGCGGATTAAATGACAGGATTGGATAACATCGTACGCGGAACTGTACTCAAGTGTACGATCGCGGATCGTCCGTGGTAGTTATCGTAAGTTATTCGTTCAGTGCCGAGATGCAAAAACGATAAGTGACTTCGGCGGGATATATGTGTACCGACGCAACATCGGGAAGCAACGGTGGTCCTCGGGAGGAAAATAATTTACCCTCGGGGCGTGTTCCAAAGAAGTCGTAGTCGCCTCGTAAATTTCTAGCCGACGCGACGCGTGCCACCTCCGCCCTCCTTCGCCCCTTGCCGTTTCTATTCCTGTTCCCGCTTCCCCCTTCGGCCGGTCGGTTTTCCGCGAGCGAAAAACTCGGTAGCGGAAAGAATTTCCGCTGGGAAAACAACTTCATAATT